AATTTCTACATCCAAATAATGAATTTCTTTCGTTTGTACATTGACTTCATATTGTATGGATGAATCGTTGTTATTCATCGTTTTTAATAGTTCATGAAATTTTTCTTTCGATTCATTCCATATCAGAAATATATCATCAAAACAGCGAACAAATATTTCATGTTGATCTTGCTGATCTAAGCGTAATAATGGTTGTTGCCAATAGAATAAATAGATATCAATTAAAAGTTGCATGAAATATAAACCTGTACCACCACCACAAACTTGTTGATAGATACGATTATCAAAAACGAAATATTGATGTTGGAGAAGAAATTCTGTTAATTTTAAAATAGCCATCGCGTTCATGCCTTGTATGGTTTCTTCCCGAATAAAGTCATCAAGAAAACATTTTAACGTGTGCAATAATTGCGCATGTGTAATTGATGTATAAGGATCTTTAATATGAAGAGTAATGAAATAGGTTGTCGATTGTAAATAATCTTTTTCTTGATAATTTTCTAAACGTTGAATTAGATCAGCACCATTATCAATCGTCATCAGATGAGCAACTTGATTATAATAGATTGGAATTAAAAGCCGATATAAATAACGACAGATAGGCATTAATGGACTTAAAGTAGAAATCATTTTTGGTTCCATGACTAATGATTGTTGTTCTTGTTGATCTAAGTGAAGTTGAAAGAAGAGATGATCTAATCGTACAAGAGAGCGTTGTATATGCATTTGTTGATATTGAAATGCTGTGATCAATTGATGTTCATAGAGATTTTCTCAAGGGGGAAACGGCGGATTTTCGGGATTCCGAATCCCATGGGAATCTTGGGAATCCCATGGGAATCCTGAGAATCTTGGGAGTCCCATGGGAATTCTTGGAATCTTGGGAATCCCATGGGAATCTCGGGAATCCCATGGAAATCCCGGGAATCCTATGGGAATCCTAGGAATCCAGGGAATCCTGTGCTTAAGAGCCATCAACAGATAAAGTGATCATCAAAAATAAACGGGGCAAACATACTAGTGATGACAATGATGACAAAGAAGTTGACTCAGAACTTGGAGAATTAGAACAAGACTCTCAAAATCAAGGGAGAAACGGCGGATTTTTGGGATTCAGAATCCCTGAAAGTCCGATGAAAATCCCTGGAGTACAA